GTAGTAGTAGTAGTAGTAGTAGTAGTAGTAGTAGTAGTAGTAGTAGTAGTAGTAATAATAATAATAGTAATAATAATAATAATAACAATAATAATAATAATAGTGATAATAACAGTAACAATAATAATGGCAATAATAATGGCGATAATAAAAGTAGTAATAATGATAACAATAATAACAGTAACGATAATAGCAATAATAACAGCAATACTAATAATAATAACAATAATAATAATGATAGCGATAATAAGAGTAGTCATAACAATACAGCTGGAAACCAATCCCTTTTCGGCGAGGCCATCCTTTCAGTGGCCAACTGCAAATGGCAAGGAATGAAAGCCCCAACAGCTTATTTCTAAAATCAACTCGCCGAAGATGGGACCACTAATACCATTACGGAGATAAGAGCTACCATTCAGGTTATTTTCTAAAACCTTCGTCATTCAATTACAGAGTGAATACGGAGGGATTTTTGACTCAAACTGAACAGCCGGTGCCTCCCAAATCTGAAATCGTGAGGAGTTTATAAGTTGCAGATGTTTAAACATTTTACGACAGCCTCAGGATCTAAATAAAGGCCATGTGCGGAAAAAATATGACAATCACTGTAAGAACTGGTAACAGTGGATTAATAATAGGTGGATTTGATGAAAAAAGCAACATAGGCTTTCGGCCTAAGCCAATGACCTAGAGCAGCCCGTAAACCTAGTCGAAAGCGTACCGGCTGCCGGTACGAGGCGTTTTTTGCAGCAATGCAATGCGAAAAACGCATATTGACGAGAGGTTGTCTGTGTGTCCGTGTGTGTCTGTGTGTCTTGCAATGCGAAAAACGCATATTGACGAGAGGTTGTCTGTGTGTCCGTGTGTCTGTGTGTCTGTGTGCCTGTATGTGCGTCTGTCACGCACTTTCATCTCAGGATATTGACGAGAGGTTGTCTGTGTGTCCGTGTGTCTGTGTGTGCGTCTGTCATGCACTTTCATCTCAGGACCTGAAAGCTGCGGGGTTGAAATTTCGGGAACTTGATCTACATGCACGTACCGCCCCCAATCCCCAAAATAAAGCTGCGGGGCTGAAATTTCGGGAACTTAATCTACATGCACGTACCGCCCCCAACCCCCAAAATGAGCGCAAAAACCCGCGTGGTACCCGCGTACGGGCCCGCCAAAGTTTTTTTGGGGTCAGTTCATAACTTGAGGATCTGAGAAGCTAGAAGGCTGAAATCTTGGGGTAATATTTCCCGCCCAAGCGGCTATTAGTGGGCTCAAACCCAGCTCCCGGGTAAGCGTGGTACCCCCGCACGAGCCCGCCAAAATTTTTTTCGGGCAATTTCATAACTCGGGGTTTTGAGATGTTAGAAAGCTGAAATTTTAGGGGAATGTTCCCTGTCCAAGTAGGTGCTAATGAGCTCAAATCCAGCCCCTCGGTAAGCGTGGTACCCGCGTACGGGCCCCCCAAAACTTTTCCCGCGCAAATTCATAACTCGGGGTTCTGAGATGCCAGAAAGCTGAGATTTTATGGGAATGTTCCCCGTAGAAGCAGGTGCTAATGAGCCCAAATCCAGCTCCCGGGTAAACGTGGTACCCGCGTACGGGCCCTCCAAAGTTTTTCCCGCGCAATTTCATAACTCGGGGCACTGAGAAGCTGGAAGGCTGAAATCTTGGGGTAATGTTCCCCATCCAGCCGGGTATTAGTGGGCTCAAACCCAGCCCCCGGGTGAGCGTGGTACCCGCATACGAGCCCGCCAAAATTTTTTTCGTGTAAGTTCACAACTCGGGGATTTGAGAAGTTAGAACGCTGAAATCTTAGGATGATGTTCAAGTGGGTATTAGTGAGCTCAAACCAGCCCCCAGGTAAGCGTGGTGCCCGCGTACGGGACCGTCAAATTTTTTTTCGGGCAAGCTGATAACCT